TGTGCTCGTTCCTCTCGGCCCTGCAGCGTGTGTCACGCTGAGGAACAACCGCTCTGTCCTGTGTCTCAGCTCGTGGTTGCACAGCCTCCTCCCTGCTTCGCTGCAGGGTGGAAAACTTCTATTGAGTGTTAACAGAGCCTCCTGTTGTGAGGAGTGAGTAAAAGGTGTGTGTGCTGTTATATTACCTAGCTATAAGCAGAACTGAGGACGTAGCTCCACAGGCTTACCCAAAGTGTGAAACCAAGTAAGTACTGGAGTGCAAAGTTGTCTTTTCCCCTCCTAACCCAAGTTTTCTTTGCTTGCTGGACAGAATTATTTTTCCGTGTGGTGAGTAGCATCGCTGCGTGAAAATACCAAGGGTTCGGTGTGTGTGCTGTTATATTACCTAGCTATAAGCAGAACTGAGGACGTAGCTCCACAGGCTTACCCAAAGTGTGAAACCAAGTAAGTACTGGAGTGCAAAGTTGTCTTTTCCCCTCCTAACCCAAGTTTTCTTTGCTTGCTGGACAGAATTATTTTTCCGTGTGGTGAGTAGCATCGCTGCGTGAAAATACCAAGGGTTCCTGAGATTTTTTTTGGGGGGGGGGGGGTTTAGGAGTGCAGGAGATGTGTGTGAATGTGCTGCCAGGCAACAGCATTAGTGAATCACTGGAAAGGGAATTTGTTGTAGTCATGTGGACAGGAATCTGCGTTAGAAAGTAAAGGCAGAGAGTCCCAGGATGTACTTATTTTAAAGCTATCTAAGCTAGCTCTTACGCTTGAGGTGATTTTGCTGTTTATTAAGGCTTATCACATGTTTGGGACACACTGTATACATAGACATGGTGTAGCCTTTTCTAGGCCCTTGCTTAGATTAACAAACCGTAGTGATAAACTTCCATTACATTTGGTGGATGCTGTGGGTTCCCTGTTAAATTGATAGAATGCTAAAACACCCAATTAACTAGACTCTCTGCTAAAGTCTGGCTGTTTTAATAGGGTACCATATGTTCAGTTCTGTACAGCTGCAGGGAGTGTTGACTTGTAAGATAAATGAGGACCTGTGTCCTTTGGTGCAGAGCCAGGGTTGTTGGGTTATGAGGCTTTGGCACACTGAAGCTTTGGCATTTCTTATCTCCGAGGGGGATGCCCCTTGGGCCAGCCTTGAGTTGAGGAGTGACTTGTGTGCAGGATTTTAATCTGAAGAGGCTTCTGTTTCAAGACTCCTAATTACAATTTGCAGGTAGACCGAGGTGTAGCTGTCGATTTTCCAGCTGCGTTCTGGCCATTAGCAGGTGGTTCACAAGTGCTAAACTAAGTTGAACATGGCCAAATCGATTCGAAGTTGGTTCATGCTGGGAGGTGTGACTTTCCCTTTCAGTTAAGGCAAAAGGGAGATGCTTCGTCTTAATCAATGGTTCTACTTATGTGAGTAATTAGTTTTCATAAGCAGCAGGCCCAGAAAGATCAAATGAGACAGTGGATTATTTTCACAGACCTGGATAACCAATTATTTTGTTTTATAGAAAAGATTTAATTGTTTATCCATGTGGACAACAAAAAAGTCTTCATGGCTCCCAATAATACTTTTATTGCTAAGTGGGATGCAATTAAATTAAAGGATTGGGTCTTCAGATCCTGACTGAGCAAGGATTATTCCTTTCAGATAGACAAGCAGTGATGGTCATTCAGGTTAAGAAAACAGTTGTATTTGGAATGAGCTTTTTTTGATGAGTTCAGTGTTGCAGGATCTGACCTTGAATTTCCAGGCAGACTGTAATGGGTTCATTGCTTCCTAAGTTGTCTTGCTCCTTTTTAACACTTGGAAGAGGATATTAGATAACAAAAATCGCAATGGAGAATATCTGTAAGACTTTTTATGATATTTGTTCATCTTTTAAAGAAAAAAATCCATAGAGCTTTAGGAGTGAGGGAAGAATACTAGGATACTTGATGGCAGTTAGCAGTGTCATGCATCCTCCTGAAGAAAAGCCACTTGCAAAACAAGATGCTACTTAGCATATGGAACAGTTGGTTAGCTTATGCAGATGTCTTTTTTGAACCTACCAATTAGAAAAAGTTTAATATTTCTTATTAGAGCTTTTTACTCATTTCTGCTCACTATAATCAGGTGAAAATGTCACTATAATTCGTTCTGTTTAACAGAGACTGCTCTCCATCTCAAGATGGAAGAACCAGTGGTGGATAAATTGCTGTCTTTGTGTCATACTCCAAAGGATTCTGGGCCAGCACCTCCACAGGGCACTAGTTCAGGGAAACAGGTATGAAAATGTGTTTGCTTTTCCAATAATGTGATTCTTCATAGTAACAAAAATACTTGTGAAATCACCCAGGAATCAGAAGTCATTGAGACAGTCTTTGCTGGAAGGCTAAAATAGGTTCTTTATGCATGTAGCTACAAGGTTGTCCAGGTAAGGAATGTGCATGGTATACTTTTCTCTGAATGTGCAGATATTTGCTGTGAAGACAAAGTGATGGAGCAACATAACCCAAATGCCACACTAATAAATTTAAATACTGTTTAGGGCTTGTGGTGCTTTCGTTTTGTTTGTTTTAACCTGTCATCTGTCCTCTCAAATCCTAGTTTCCTGGGTTGCTGTGCTTGCAGGATGACTTTCTGTGACTTCTGCCTGCTATTGAACACTCACTGCTGACACTGCTTTCAGTTTGCATCCTCTCCCTAATGCTGAGCACTGCTTTGGGCTTCACCCTGGCACATGTTAGGGTGATGCTGTCATGCTCAGCATCCAGATATACTTAGGAGAGGCCTAGTTTGCAACTATTCCTCAACTAATCCCTTGCTCCCATATTTTAGTGTATTTCTATAAGTAAAAGTGTTAGACACATTATAAAAAATAGCTGTTAACTTACTTTGAAGAAAAAACTTTTTAGATGCTTATCACTGAAGTATCTCAAAGCAGGAGCAAGTCAAAATTAGATATTTCTAATATGCTCAAATAGAATACAGATGTTTTATATTAGTGCTAATACTAATATATGTGTATATATATGTGTGTGTGTATATATATATACACACACACTAGTATATGTGTGATAGGATGGAACAGCAGAAAAAATAACCCTCATCTCCATTAAACTAGAGGTGGAAATTGAACTTGATAGAATAAAATTAGCCAAGTGGAAATATGCCCTATTTCTTCTGCACAAAAACTGGATGGGTAGGTTTGCCTCAGCAGAACACAGGACTTGGTCCTAGAAAATGTGGAGCTACATCTTTCCATATCTTGTAGCTGTGTGTGCAGATACATGTGAAAGGAAGAAGGTAACTCCTCAAGTTTGTGAAGGCTACGCAGAATTAGGAAGTCTGGCTTTGCAGTGGTCATTACATGTATCGCATAGGCCATGTAAATAATAACCAGGGTCAACAGTTGTTTGAGATGTGGTCAGAAGTTATTCTGACCTGTTTATTTGTTTTGTTTTTGTTTTAGCAAATGAGTGCAGCTCTGAGGGAGAGACTGAGGAAAACAAGACGTTCATTTAATGCCAATTTTATGGTGGCAAAGCGGCTCAAAATAGGCACTGAAGAAAAAGCCTGTGCTGCTGCTGCCCCAAGCTGCCTGCCAGAGACAGGTGCAAATTGTTCCAGATTACAAGACAGTTCTGAAAACCTGGAAAGCAATGGCATGGGACATACATGTTTCAAAAGTCCCTTACAGGAGAGTGGTCCCTGTGGATCATCACAGAATTCGGATGTGCTGCAGGTTGAACTTGGTCAGCGACAGCCCCTGGAAGAAAAAGTAAGGCTGGAGAAACAAGTGCAAGAGAAGGAAGAACTGCTTCGTAGGCTCAAAATGGTTAAGATGTATCGCTCCAAGGTGAGTTAAACCTCTGAAAATGCAGTTTGAAGGCATTGTTTGAAGTAGAATTCATGGTGTAATCTGCATTTATTAATTTAAGTAACAATACTAGCTTGCTTTCTTTTGGTGTGTGCCATTTGTGTATTGTCTCAGTCTAAGGTGTTCTATACAAATACCTGCAGGGTATCAAACCCTCACGTTTCAGGAAATGACAGTTTTGTTTTGCTTTGTCCCAACTTCAGAACAACCTGTCTGAACTGCAGGCTTTGATAGTGAAGTGGAGGAGCAGTACCCAGCTGATGTTGTATGAGCTACAGTCAGCCTTTTCTGCAGATGGCAAGAAAGTGAGTCTCACTCAGCTGATTGATACTTTTGGATTAGAAGACCAGTTATTGCACTACAGCAGAACAGAAGAAGATTTTGTAGATGCATAATCTGCAGGTGCAAAGCTTTCAATTATACGGACACAAAAGCAGGAAAGGCTGAAGGAATTCTGATCACGTCAGAAGGGTTGATCAGACAGTGGACTTGAGGCTTGGGGGTTAGGAGGTTTTCTCCAGGGATATTTGTAAAGCTGTGTACTTAGGTACAGTAGGCACTGTAAAAGGCATTATTTAATGAACAGGATCAAAGTTGTGATGTTTTGGAGAACGTGGTTTCATGACTGGGTCAGTGAATTTTGATTTAATAAAACTGAAATGAGGCAGAAGGCAGTCCCTTCTTTGATTTGTCTGCATGGTTACTTGTATTGAAATAACTCAAACTGCCATTTCTGTTGATGTTCAGACAGGGAAGAGTTGAGTTCTGTGTTTGTAACTACACCCCCATGTTACAAATGTCTTCCTGCTGCCAGTCACTACTGACAGCATTTTGTGAGTTAAGTAAAGAGGACTAATTTTCATGATGTTAGTATTCTGAAGCTGTGATAAGATGTTCTCACTAGCTTTAATTGCTACTGTGCCATAATGCTATTGCTTTCAGGTACTGGTCCAGACAGTTGTCTCCAGGGACAGTCTCATAAGCTTTCTGCCACAGCCAGAGATAATAGAAGGGAAGGCAAGAAAATGGCTAACAACTTTGTATTCTTACTATTGCCTGTGAGAGCCAAAGTGTTTTCTCTCTTCAAATAAATAAGAAAAACAAGACCTTGTTTAATGGGATAGCTTCAAACACGGCATCATCATATGCTATGAATATTGTTTTTTATGCAATCACATTCCTTATTGATTATACCTTAACTTTTGTTTACAAGTGGCATTTTCTGTTTCCTCAGTAAGAGAGCAATTTTTTACATGTCTCAAGGGAAAGAAAATCAAAGATCATACCTTTTAACATTGATAGGGCTCATTAGACTTAAATCTGTACCTACAACTTGCTTTTAATACTGACTGTTGCTGTCCCTGGAGAATTAATGCAGAACAATCTTCACTGCTAATCACATTTTGACTATTAAAACACTATTTCTTCTGCCTTGTTAGGTTTGTAAAAAGGGATGATGGTGCCTGGTGAAAGGGCCAGTTATCTTCCCTGAGATCCTTGGCAGATTTGGAACTCTGCTACTTGTGGAAAGTTTTACAGGAAGAAAAAAATCTTGCAAGAGAAGAGAAGAGAGATGTAACTAGAATACTTACAGATCCCAGTTAGAGATGGTAAACTGAAAAAGGAGGTGCTGTACAGGATCACAACAGAAGTAGATTTTTTTCTTAAAAGTGTAGAAATTTGATGAGCTATCAAAGCTATTAATGCTCTCACAATGGCATGAGTTTAGATTTTATGTGAATTTATGAAAGGAACAGAATTGATGCACACCATGCAAGGGAAATAAAAGTGGGTGAGACTGCC